TATATAATATATATATATATATATATATATATATATATATATATATACACATATATTTATAATACAATTTACGTTCTAAAAAATAATATTACAATAGCGTAATATTACAATATGTAAAAAAGAAAATATTCAACGTTTATTATACCTTATTTAAATGTTGCTGACCTTATTTAAAAGTTGTGTTGATTTTCCAATCTGAGAAAATAATTTATTCATGATGAGTAATAAAATAAATCTTGTAATGAAATTATTTTTTTGTAAAATAATACTTACAGTTTGAATTCTCATCATTTGATCAAGAGCATGTGGAAGTAATGGACGCACACTATTGATTTCCATAGCAGTTAAATGATCTAATTTTGCATGCATTCCATCACTTTTGAGGAATGCATCTATAGACGTACGAAGCTTTGACATTCGTATGTCCCATAAATCCTAAAAATTATCAGATATATTAACATTAAAAAATATCATTAATATGATTATGATTTTATCTTACCTTCACTGCTGTCCGTATGTTATCTGCTTCGTGTATATCATCACTTGCAGCACTTAATAAAAGCTGCGTTTCATCCACATAATGATTACTAGGCATTTTTGTAAATAATCTAAATAATAAATATGAGTGATGAATTTTTTTTATTTTAAGAGATTTTATTTCAACTAAAAAAAAAAAAAAAAAAAAGGAAAAAAACAAAATCTTTACTCACTTTGATAATTTCTCTTCTTCCTTCGCTTCATTCAAACTTTCGGCATTCATCCATTCTTGATTAATAATTCGACACTTTTGCTGTTGTTTTAAATTCACAGCCAACCAAATCGGAACTTTGACAGGTAAACCAGCTCGGAAAGGACCTACTGAGCCAGAAATCAAATGAATTGTGTCAAAACTAAAATTAGGTACAATAGTGACTAATTCTTTTTCACCAAGAAATTCTACTTCACTTGGATCCATTATTTAATATTTATTTTTTATGATAAACAATATTTATTACAATAATCTTAGTACATTCCCACTACATAACTTACGACGAAATGCTACTGTAAGAATTTTACTCGTTGTACTGACTTTTGGCGGGAAATGATGTTAGAAACGCCATCTATTGTTAGCTACAATAATTTCAAAGACACGTATAAGCAATATCATAGATAAAATGCATAGGATATACACGTATAATATTTCGATGATACATTGTAAAAATCAAAATTGTAAAAGAGTTTTTTTTACATATACATATAATAAAATAACAGACGGTAACAGACTTTAATTTCTGAAATATTTGCAAAAATTTTAACAAATATGAATAAAATATGATCTATAATTATACACGTATATATATTATAGATTTTCTACCTGTAAAAAAATTTAATGTATACAAAAAAGTAATATACTTGAACTGAAGTAAAATAATATGTATATAAAAGAATGTATATAAATATCTATGATATATAAAAAAAATAGATGAGCATTTATTTCTTGAACGTATAATTTTGCGGAAGTTAGACAAGGAGAGCGAATGGTGAGAGAAGGACAGAGATAGGATAAAAATTTGAGGATCAGCGCCATCTCTAGAGTGCCGCAAATGAAACACGATATAAACAAAGAGGGCGAATCACGAGAAAAGGATAGAGATAGTATCGATATTGACTTCTAGCGCCATCTCTTGACTGTTCCTTTAAACACATATCTTCAAATCCATCCAAAAGATGGCGCCAGGAGTCAATTTCTCCCTCCCATCCCTACCTTATCGTATCTTCTCTTAAAAGTGTCTTCGATATTCGAGAGATGGCGCTAGAAGCCAATTCCGACACTATCTCTATCCTTCTCTAATTATTCTCTCTCTTCGTTTACATTGTGTTTCATTTGCGGCACTCTAGAGATGGCGCTGATTCTCAAATTTTTATCCTATCTCTGTCCTTTTCTCGCCATTCTACTCTCCTTGTCTAACTTCCGCAAAATTATGCGCACTATCCCATCATACCTTCGGAAAATTGTTCTCTGCTATTCGCGAGAGATGGCGCTGATAATCCTTGTCCGCATCTGAACCATTTCCTTGCCACCGGATACCGATAATAATTCTGAAACGCACTTCCGCGTTTCGCGCGCGTTTGTTAGATGGCTGTATTCACAACGATTCTTAAAAAGGGCGCGAACAATTCAAATTCATTCCCCGTTCGTTTCTTTAAAAAGAGGCTTAAATATACATATATATAAAAATATGAAAATTTTTTTTATCAACCGTAGATTTTATTTTACACAAAAATTAATTCGCATTAATTGGAAATCAATCGTTCCCCAAGTGTTATTATTTTGTTTCTTCCCATGTCACGGCACACTTGGAAACGTATCGGCGAAACAATTGCAACATTGCACCTGGTAACGAGACCCGTTAGTCGCCATAATTTGGACATACCGGGCGCCCAATGTAGGCGTTACAAAAATTTCCAGTAATACACCAATAGGAATAACAATGTTTTCCCGGGCCGCCAAATCCATCGTGAAAACCATCGGTCAGCGAAAATATCCCGCTGGTGAAGAGAACATCAAGGTATAACATTTATTTCGAGAAAACAAGAAATTTCCCCCAAAAAAAGGATTAACGAATCCCTCTCGTTATCATCCTCCCCTTCTCGAACACGCAATTCAATTTCGTCCACAACGCCTTTGCAACGAAAATAAAAAATCGCACTCTTCTATTATTAATGCAAAATATATCTAGCCTTTCCTTATCAATTTTTTTCTCTTTTTATCACGAATGCAGCTGGCATTGATCGGAGGGGCTGGAGAGATAGGCAGATCTTTGTCGCAAATGCTGAAACAAAGCTCTAAGCTGGATGTCCTTGCACTGTATGACGTGGCCGCGTTGAATAAGAGATTTTCAACTCCGATTGAGATTAATAAATTTTGTGACGCTAAAATCACAAATACCGCGGTAAGATTCAGAAAGAATCAGGAAGAGGAACATAAATATATATATATATATGTATACATATATATGTATATATGTAATCCTTTTTTCACCAACTTTTCATCAAATTAAAATCTTTTAATTCTGGAAATTTTGGAACAGAATTCGCGGATGTTAACGATGCTGGAGAAATCAAGAACAAACAAAGGTGATTATCGTCTGTCGAACGTGAACGAGGTAATTAAAAAAAAAATCTCCATTAATTAATTACGTTTGATAAGATACACGTACACGGACATAGATTGAAAATTATATTTCGTATTGCATACGAAGAATCTGACCGAGGATTTCGTTAACATTCACCGATTGCCGACCGCCGAACAATGCGTCACCAATCAATATTCTAAAACAGCGGAGCAACCGCAGGTAAGAGTGTTTTGTTAACGTGTTACCCCGACACGATCTTTTATCACCATTTTTATGCATTTCATTTCGAGCAAAGAATGGAATATTACGCGTTAACGCGTTCTCCGTCGTCCACTGTTTTTGCGTTAATTTGTTCTTCCTAGATTGTCGGATTTTTTTTGCACAATTCTTTCCCGTTTCCGTTATTTATCCGAACCGATGAAAACGACGAAACGAAAGTTTCAACAAATTAAACTTATCTTCTCTCTTGTGAAAAAAGGAAAATCTAATCACGAAAACTTACGAAAACTTAATTAACAAATCAAATTTGATTAAATCTGGTAAAATTTTCCGTACGTACCACAACCATAACCTAAAAATGACGATGCTCGTTCAAGAACAGTTTGTCGATTCGAAGAACGCGTCAACGCGAGAAACATAACCAAACATAATCGAATTATCATCAAATTATTATTCAACGGAATGAAAGATCTCGAAAATATCTCGAAAATGCGAAAACGAGATCGATTTTTTTTCCCCTCACATGCGTGCGATATCGAACGATATCGACGAGCGTTGAACTCGATGGCGCGTCTCGTCGACTTGTTACCGCGTCGATGATCATATAGGATGAGGAGGAGGAGGATAGGGATGAGAAGCTGACGAGGCTGCGCGAAGATTAATAATTTCGCTGCGACTTATCCGACTTTATCATTACCGGACAAATAATAATAATAATAATAATAATAATAATAATAATAATAATTCAATTTCCACGCGATCCATAATGATATAAAATAATAATGATCGTGGAAGATTGGAAAATTTAAAAAAGGAGAAAAATAATCTCTCTCTCTCTCT